AAGCAACTTTACCCCACGCGGACATCTGACTACTCTCTCAGTAGACTCCTCAAATGCTCATCTAGGTATCTCTCCTAGATTACTCCTCTACTCAGATCCCTCTCTAAAAGGATTCCTGCTGGATACTCATACTCAGCACATACTCGAAGGCACATCACATATAACAGCAACTCCTAGGCTAAGGCATCACAAATCAGGCCACTCTAGTCCTAAAATATGAATACCTAGCCTATCTCTAGCATGCATAGCATATCACATAATATCTCATAACACATAATGTAAGGGTATTTTGGGAAATCACCGTTCGGGCGCTGGCTGATCGTACACACTGCTCCGTTATAATTTTCTCAAAAATCTTTTACTCTTTTTAGAAAAATTGTTTCTTTTATGAAATTTCCCTTAAATCCTCAGTTTGAGTTCAGATACGCCCGAAGGTGCATCCGAATCCCTCAAACCAAGACTCTAATACCAACTTGTAACGACGTAAATTTTAAAACAATTTTTCATTTTTCAAACATAATAAATCTCATATAATATTCTCAAAATCTCATGTATCAATGTCATCACAATAAAACATATCCCAGAATCTCAACACAGAATCTTCTGCCAGTGTGTACAATTCATGCCGGCGCCTTCCCGCGACCCTCGCTGATACCTGAAACACATATCACATAACACGGTAAGCATAAATGCTTAGTGAGTTCCTCAAAATACCACATACAACACATACGCCACTCGAGGCTACAGTACGACCCTCCGGTCGATGTGTCTCAGCGGGAACCTCCGGTCCCGTAGCTCGTTGGACCCTCTGGTCCGGTCATAGCTCGTTGGACCCTTCGGTCCGGTCTGTATTGTTGGACCCTTCGGTCCGGTCTATATCGTTGGACCCTCCGGTCCGGTCTATACAACACATTGCATACATATATCACAATGCACATAATCTCATACATACACATAGCACACAAGACCCTTCGGTCTACACATAGATACCACTCTAGGTAATGTATAGTGAGAAGACTCACCTCGACTAGCAGGTGAGCAAATAACCTCGCGCTCGGATCTCGAACTAGTCTCCTCCTAACACAAAGGATGAATATCTCTTATTATTACTCTTCTCACAACTCAGATAATCGAAGGCGGGTCTTTCTCTTTCTAACTCATTAAAGTGGGCAAAAGACCATTTTACCCCCTCCAAGGTCTCCATCACATATGTTGACCAAAACCCCATGGTCAACAGAAGTCAAACTCGAGTCAACAGTCCAAGTTTGACCCGACTCGTCGAATGCACTCCTGCGACTCGTCGAGTCCCCTCGTATCCTCAGAAGTCTCAAAAGTCCAGCTCAACTCGTCGAGTTGACCCCCAACTCGCCGAGTTATCGCACAATCAATCCATCGGGACAAACCCTGCCGACTCGTCGAGTCAGGTCATGGACTCGACGAGTCCCTTTGATCTGATTTCTCATTCAGACGATTTCAACAAGATCTATCACTCTAAACTATAGATCTATCATCCCAAGGCTCAATAATTACGTAAAGCTTCGATCTTTACGTTCATACATGATGTTATTGCTTCAAAACGCCAATACATACTCTTCATGAAGGTTTTTGCTCATCAACCCTCATTTGGACCACTAAAGCTGAGACATCTAGACTCTAAGGACCTTAGGAGGTCCAGATTTGAGGTTTCCAACCACAACCAGGTCTCATTCGACTCATAGATTCAAAAGAATGGAAGCAAAGCCCTAAAACTCCCAAAATGAGATCTAGTACAAGGAATGAACAAGATGAGAACTTTGTACCTTCTCTTAGCAGCTGAAACACTCAATACCATAGATCCACTGCCTTCCTTTGTTCCCCGTCAAGAAGCTCTTCATCCTTCTCCATAGAAATGCACCAAGAACCACAATATGAGTTTCTCTCTCACTCTCTAGCTACAATAGCAAATAGGGTTTGCTCTCAGGGGAAGGTAGCCGCAATTGAGGCTATAAATGCCTTTAAATAGGTCCCAAACCCGGGAAATTAGGGTTTCTCTGCCCAGCACCTACTCGACGAGTCCCTCCTCTGACTCGTCGAGTCCATTCATTAAATCCACGCGGCAATCTCTACTCGACTCGGCGAGTTGGTCCCTCAACTCGTCGAGTCCCTCCTTAAATCTCAAGATTAACATACACAATAATGTCCCTGAAAATCCGGATGTTACAATTCCCCAAAAAACACTTAATCGGAATCTGGTATCTACCCTTTAAGGTAAAATGACTATTTTACCCCAGACCAAGTCTAAGTCAAAGTCAAAGTCAAAGTCAACGTCAAAGTCAACTTTCATTTGACCCGACTCGCCGAGTTGGGTCGTCAACTCATCGAGTCCCTATCTCTTCAACTGTCCTCCTCCGTGTCCCTACTCGTCGAGTTTAGCAACGATTCGACGAGTTCTCCTTACAACCTCAGATGAACCTTCGTCCGACTCGCCGAGCGGTATGAACACTCGTCGAGTCCATCTTCATCCTAAGAATACGTCCTGTCCTTGACTCGCCGAGTTGTATGAACAACTCGTCGAATTCATCTTCAAGGGTTGGGAGATTGCCTTGGACTCGCCGAGTCTGTTCTAGCACTCGTCGAGTCCTATGAATTCCAGGTCTAAAACTAAGTCCAACGCGTTGGGTCACCCTCCTTGTCCTGCTACAAACCTTCTAACACCCAACTGAGTTCTTTTGACCCTCAACGGGTATGAGACTCAAAGCCTTGGACTCGTCGAGTCCCAAGAACGGACTCGCCGAGTCGGTAACGTCCATACTCAAAATCCTCGATTTCTGATGTACAACTCATGACCAAAAGATAGATCTAGGCTCCTACAATCGTTCTAGCACGTAAAGTTACAAACTTTACGTGCATGCATGGGACTTTGAGTCCAAAAGGTCCTAAAACAAGCTCTTGGGTTGCATGGAGTCTTCCTTGGGTGGAAAAGCACCCACTTTCTGCCTTGTGACCCCTCAAAGGACCTAGATCCGAAGCCTTGTCCCCAACCATGCTTGCATTCATGGTTGGCTACCTAAAATGGCTTATAAAAGCCCTAAATCTCCACAAAATGGGATCTAGCAAATGAACAAGCAAGTTAGCAACTTTATACCTTCTGAGGACTGAAAATGAAGCACAAACTCGAACCCCTCTGGTCTCCTCTTGTTTCCTCAAGCTCTTCTCCTTCCTTCTTAAGACCACCAACACCAAAATCCACCAAAATGACTTAGATTGCTTCAACAACGGCTAGGGTTTTCTATAGAGGGTTTCTGGGAGCATAAAGGGACGATGGAGGCTGTATAAGGTTGTTTAAATAGGGTGCAAACCCTCAGTTTAGGGTTTTGTCCAGACATAGTCTACTCGTCGAGTCCGGGACTCGACTCGACGAGTCCATCACTTAAATCTCGCGTCTCATCCCGCTTCTACTCGGCGAGTTGGGCCTTCAACTCGCCGAGTCCCAGGCCAAAAATGCAAAATTACTAAAATAAAATACATACCAGGAAGCGGGTGCTACAAATTTGGAGTTTGGTATCTGTGTATGTGGAGGCAGTAAGGTGTGGATAGAAGCTGATAATGTTGAAATACGTATTGTGCAGACTATAGAGCAGCATGGGATTAAGTGGCTTGTCATGGGAGCTGCAGCTGAGAAGCTATATTCAAAGTATATTAATATGTGAATAGTTTTCATAAAGATGAATTGATAATTATGGTATCTATAACTAGTGAAATTGCCTATTAACCTTTCATTTTTATGATCAAATGTAATGATTTGTATGCTTTCAATTTTATCTCTCTACAGGAATACATCTAAAGGCACAGTCAAGTTTGTTTGGATCATGATATGTTGGTTTTGGATTCTTGATTTCCGGTGTGTTTTCTTTTCTTTATCCCTAATTTATTAGTGGTTATTATTGCATGTTAGTGTGTGAATTCAAACTTCATATCTATAGATTGTTGATTGGAAATAAAAACCCATATGCTGCAGTGAAACGGAATGAATATAGGGTGTTAGAATTGGTACATTTTTAGATTATACTTCTACTGTTTTTTTGAGATGGCATGAAATGGAAATGGAAGTAATCATACAAGCTACAAAACATGTAATAAAAATATTTGATACTCCTGACACTTCGATTTTTTGATGAATGTTGCTTATCAGGTGTTCGACGAAATGCCTACCCTGTAAGTTGTACTTTCTCGTTGTTTCATTGTTTTGGTCTCCTCTGTCAATACACAACCAACACAACTTCTGTTGAATTTTTTTTTCTGTCAGCAGGGGAGCATGATTGATGGTAGTAAGAAAGATGTCATTCACAGGTATGCACTACACTTAGCTCTTTTCATCACTTAAGTGCTAACCAATTGTTTATACACTCGATTTTGGCACCTTAAATGGTTCTTCCCAATATTTTAGAACCGGAACCGGAACCGGCACTTCCAATTCCGGTTCCGGGTATCCACTTCAAAAAAAACGGTTCCAAAAACAAATCAATGGTTGGTTCTGGCTGTAGATACCCACTTTGTATTTAATATGATGATTTTAGCCTTGCTTAAGATTTCAATGCTTAATGTCTGGAACCACCGGTTCCGATGTGGTCTAGTTCCGAAAGATTCATGAAAAATGTAGGAGTTGGAGCAAATTGTATGTATTGATTATGCCTATTGCAAAATATATTAATGTTCTACCTGTATCATTTTGTCCCTATTATGTGCAACCATTATTAAATTATTATTTTTTCATTTCTTTTCTATTTTGTAGCTATCCTCTGGATTATGCTGCATAAACCATTAATGACATAGGACCATCTATTCGAAAAGTCATATGGAATCAAAATGATACATGTGGAACAAATGGAATCTACATCTCTCAATTGATTCACAGTTTTTTTTCTTCATTGTTGGAAAGAAATGGTTACTTTGTTTCGGTGATGAATTATAACTTCAATTTACCAACATCTTTATCTTTTATTCTCCATTTCTATCAGGTAATGGGTATGGAGGTTCATGCCAATGAAGGAGGAGTAACACAGACACGTGGTGGTGTATATTGGTCAATCCTACCTGCTGGATGTATTACATTCCTCTTCAAATTCTTTATTAAATTCCATTTATTTGTTAATCTTTAGCAAATAAATCTTTTTTTTTAAAGATCTTGGTTCATCTTTCTGGGGTATGCTTCTAATCTTGGCATCAACTGGCCTTCTTACTTCAAGAATCGCAGCCGGATGTTTAGGAGTTGCTCTTCTTATTGTCCTCTTTGTTGCCAAAAATGTAAGAATACTTTTATTTTTCAACAATTATTTAACTTTTTAAATTTTGTAATTTGAATATATCGAATTTGAAATCATCCATTTGCTTTGTTTTATTGAAACAATGGACGCTTCGAGGACTTTGCATTGGTCTTTATTCTTTAACTTCAAATCTTTTATAACTTTTTAATATTTATTTACCAAAAAATTAAATAATTTTAAAAATTACATTTTTCCACAGGATTTATTATCTTTCTTGCTGTCATTTGGATCCTACAAGAAAAAACCACAGTCCGCATCCTTCGTTATGTCATTTTGTTCATTGGTATGATTTATAAATATGATCTTATATTACTCTTCCCATTTTGTCTTTTTTAGGAAATGACAATTTTGCCGTTTTATTCACAAGTGTCATGAACAGTTTGTTTTCGGTTTATGGTAAGTAGACATTCTTTACTCATCAAAACTGACAATTTAACAAATTATATCATTATCATTATATGTAATTATGTAAGTTTAGTATTATTATTATATATATTGAATAAAATAATTTTTTTATTGGCAGATATTTATGATGATTTAATTTCAAGGAGAGTTAATTCTAGTGATGCTGAGAAGTTTGCAGAAATTTGCCCTAGCCCATGTAATGGTGTTGCATGGGGAGTCTCATATATTATGAATATAATACATTGTATTATGGGAAAAAGCTTACTACTTTGTTTCAAACTTTTTTTCAAGTCCATTTTGTAGAAATGGATCTATTAGGTCATTTTTTTTAATTTTTTATTTATGAAATACGAGTAGATGAAAAATGCATTTTCTTGGTGTACATTTGAAAATTTGTCCTCTCAATTACTTTTCCAGACAAGAATTTCCTACAGTACTGAACTTTGGTCCCATTTCTTGAAAACTTAAATTAATGATTGTTGTCTTATCTGTTGCAATCTTACATATGGTTCAGCTGCCATAGAATTGCTATGAAGGTACTATAAAATGTTTATAATGGTATTTCCATATATACCCTTCTAAGAAAGTGAAATTCATATCCTTATTATGTTATCAGAGTCTACTGTTTTTTTTCGTTTATGCGTACAACAATTACTGTTTGTATACAATTTGATTTTAGTCAATGCTTTCAATGGATCTGATTCATTGTAGGCATGTTCAGGTGCTGTTTATTGTCAGCTAATGAATATCGCTCATCCTGGAACTGTTCTGATGCATAAACTCAATTTCAATGTCAAAATTGAATACCACATGATTCAAAATTACAAGGTTCTTGGAGATGTTTTCAACAAACTGAAGATCAATAAGGTTATCTTACTATCTCCTACTTTCATTATTGCAGTCTGATTACAATCGGAGTTCCTACTCGATACATTATAGTTGTGTGTTTTTTCAATTTGAATACGATCAGATTTCAATTTGTTGTCGATTGTAATTGCTAAATTTCAAAAGCAGTGGTCATCGATTTTCAACTGTTACTATTATTTTCATGATTTTTAGCAAGTGATCGTTGATTTTGAAAGAAAATACACATCTGATTGATACAATTACTCATTCATTTAATCTTATATGTTTAATTACAGCACATCGAGGTAAACAAAGTGGTGAAAGGAAGGCGAATGGATAACCTCAAATTCATGCAGTGGATGAAACGATACTGTGATTCAGTCAGCGGAGGCGCTAATCAAAGGTAACCTCTGTCCTCTCTCCCAACCTCACATATGTAGCTGTAGTAGTGTTTAATTATTTTCTTATTTATAGTAAATATTATAGGTGAATGTAATTTTCAAATTACAATGTTATAATAACTAAAAAAAATAGGATGTTGTAATAAAACAATAAATGAGGTATCTTGCTATTCGTATGAAGACCCCTTCTGTATATGTAATATGTTTTGATTAATATTATACTATTGAAAGAAAATCAGACTTTATATAACATGGATTCGGGTTTACTGCAGGATTAGACATGCATTGCATTTACAACTGACACAAAGAACGTGATTGATTACATTGGAGAAGATAGGTCATTAGTGGTTTTAGATCCTTTAAAACCTCATAAAGATGGAAAAAAGTCGCTTCAATTCAACCGCGTTTTTGGTCCAACTGGTAGTCAAGGTAATAATAAAATTTAAACATTTTTCCACAATTCTAGAACCTTCTGTTGACTAATGTTTTGACTTTTTTCAGAGGAGGTTTTTGCTGACAAGAGAAAAAAACTAACACAGCGCCAACGGCGCGTATGATTCCCCTCTAGTTATTTATAAAAGGAAACAATATACGAAGAAAAAAATGAACTTTATAACAATATAAAATAAGGGATTTAACACTAGAAATACGCCATGTCTTATTTCCGATCGAAAACTTTTATCTAACTACGTAAATAAAAATGATATGGTCTTAACGGTATATCCGAATTTAGATCGAGTATTACATTATACATAAAACAATTAAACTTAATTTAAAATTATATAAATGAAAAATATATATTTTAACAATATAACGAAAAACGAATGCTCACATTCAAAATATGTCATATCTACTGAAGGTCGGACTGAAACAAATTTATATTATTATGCAAATAAAAATAAAACGATATCTAGGGGCAAGAATCGGTAAACAAATTTATATTATTATGCATATAAAAATGAAACGATATCTAGGGCAAGAATCAGTTCGGTTCATGGTTTCTTTAGTTTGAATTTTTTTTGAGCCCTAACCAAAAACCAAATTTCAATCCAATTTAATCCAGTTTGAAAGCCAAGGAAACCAATTTTAAGGTTAAAAATAAAAGCTAAAGTTAAAAATTTTCAAATATAAATATCTGAAGTTTCAAATCTCAAATACAAAAGTTCTAAACTACACGAAATATAAAAATAATGTCTTAAAGGAGGGAACTTTGACGATTTTGGATCGAGAAGTCGATGTGTCCGAAGTTATAAAATACTGTAATATTTTATATTTTTTCTATTTAATTTTTAAACTATAAAGAAATGTAACATTTAATTAATAAAAATTTAACTATTTAAATTTGGTAATCCGTTGATCCGATCTCCACTAGACCATAACTCAAACCATAAACAAATTCATAATTCGGTTTGGTACGAAACCTAACCGAACTGAATTTTAAATTTGGTTTGGTCTGAATTCGATTTCGATTTCGATTTCTTGAGTTCCAAACCAAATAATGCCTACCCTTAATGGTGAGAATTTTATATTCAAATTTTTACCGAGTATTACATAATAAAAGTTATGATAAAAAATCAGACTAAAGAACTAACTATAAATAAAAAATAATAAGAATATATTAAAAATGGATAATGTTACGATCATCAATCCAAAATTGTTAGTAATATACTTTTATAATTGAAGGGTAAAAAACTAAATGAGTTGGCTAAAAAGACATCCCATATTGCAATATGGACACCCTAATTAATTTTTTAAATATTTTTATTGGCTGAAATTGTATTGTTTTCCGAAAAAGCTGATAATACGCAGTTAATTATTGGTTGACTTTTTATAAAAGTGTCAATAGGGTGTCTTATTAGCAACACCTAAACTAAATTGTGTGAGATATTCTTTAAGAAATAATTAGAGCCTAAATTGTTTGGGATCACAAAAGTTGTCGGGGGTAGTCCTGAATTGCTTGGGATCACAAAAGTTGTTATGGATAATCGAGTTAAAGGTGTCTACATGGTAAAATCAGGTGTTTTTTTAGCGAACCCTCAATTGAATAACAACTTAGTTTTGGTGAAATGGGAAGTTCAATTGACTAAATTCGTATAAGGATTCTTTGTCAAAAGTTCGAAAACGTAAGAGAGGCGAAGCCCTTTAACTATATATATATATATATATATATATAATATATATATATATATATATATATATATATATATATATATATATATAAAAGATGTTTTCCCGCACAAAGCGGCGGCGATAAATAGTTTTTTTGGCCAATTGTTTTTTTTATGAGAAAATAATTATTAGATTTTATTATTAGTTATTATGTAATAAAAAATTTATCCCTTTTTAAAAAAAATATTTATGTTTAGAACTTATATTTATATTGCATGTTTATACATTTTATGTAAAGTAATTATTATCCATGTTTAGTTTAAAAAATTTAAATTAATTTATATAGATTAATTTAATATTTTAAAATTGACATTGCTCAAAATTTTATTTATTAATAACCTTCTTTAATATAAGTCTTCAAATTTTTGGCAAATATTAATGATTTATTTATACATAATTGATTTGTACAAAAAGCTTTGTACCTTATATCTTTTATAATTCAAGATATGACTAATATGTTTTATAATATTGTATTATATATATATATATATATATATATATATATATATATATATATATATATATATAGACACACACACACGTTCTATCCCAATAGATAAACGCAAATGGTGATTATGCAGTGGTTAATAGAAGTTTTGGATGATGACGGTTAACGTTGGAGAACTGCGTTCGGTAGTAGCCATCTTAAGACCATGGTTTAAGGATTTCGATTTTAGCACCTCCGCATGCAATCGACCAAATCATTTATGTTTTTAGGTGTTGTCGTGAACCCCATAAAGGGTGAGATTTCCAGTAGTTGTGTGTGGGGTTTATCTAGCTTATGCAAGTGTGCACTTAACGGGCGTGTTTGGCACGAAACTTTTGCAAGCGTTTGGGAGCTTCTAGCTTTTAGCTTTTGACAAAACGCTCTAGTTTAAACAAAAAACTTCGTTTGGCAGTACGAACGTTTAGCTTTTTGTTTAAACAAAACGCTCAAATTCTAAAAGCTACTTCATGTAGCGTTTAATAAAATGCTACTGAGCTTTTGAAATCAATTTCCATAATTACCCTTAAAAATATATTTATATATTTATTTATTTTTAATCAATTGTCCTTTTATGTAATTTTATATATTTCAAAAGCTTCCAGCTACTTTTGTCAAACATTCATATAACAAATAAAAGCTACAGCTTCCCGCTACACGCTACACGCTACCAGCTAACAACTACTTTTGTCAAACACGCCCAACACCTTTTCAACATCAGTTACATATATTGTATGATGAAGCTAAATCACCATCATATATTCCTTATTTTAATGTAATCATTTAATTTACAAAATATAGTTAACAAACAAATGAAAACCTGTGCATAAACAAAAAGTGAAAACAATTAAAAGTTTCATGTAAGTATATTACACATTCTAAATTGAGAATTGGTCATTCCTAAAGACTGAATTTTTTAGTTTAGTTAAATACTTGAAGATAATATGCACATATGCTGTAACACTCGATTCAAGGTACTTTTCATTTTGACCCTTGGTGTGTAAATATTTTTTATATTTGGTCCCTAGGGGCAGTTTTGCTAACTTCGGAAGAAGTTGGAGTACGCTGGGCGTACGCATGCAAGGGACAAACCCAAAATGGACCCTACATAAACAACATTATGACCCCTTATTCTTTCATTTCTCAGCCACCATTGCCCTTAGAGTGCTATTTCGAAACCCTAGCCTTCTTTGAAGAGATTTGACCCTCTTATGTGTGTTTTAGTGTGTGTTGGTGAAAGTTGAAGAAGAAGAGCTTGGAAGAAGGAGCTTTGATCAAAGGAGAACTTGTAGATCCAGATTTCTCATATCATTTCCAGCTTCATTGAAGGTATAAAGCTTGGAATTTGCTCACGGTTTGCTTAGATCCAGTCTTTATGAAGTTTTGGTCCCTTTTTCGTCACATGATGAGATCTAGTGGATTCCTTCCACTCTAGAAGCTAGGAGTTGTTTCTCTTGATGTTTCCGGGGTACTTAGTCCATAAAGTTAGCATCTTTATGGTTGTGGATCAACCATGCATGTGTTTAGGTCATTATAGTGAAAGTAGAATGCTAAAAGTGAGGTTTGGGTCCTTTTAAGCCATGCAACGGCTTCAAGTTCATAACTTTATGGATTAAGATGTTTAATAAGACTTGGACCTTAAATTTCGGCTTTTAGGTGCAAGTATTAAGCACTTAATGGGAACGTACTTTAACATCCCAAAATTTTCAACAAATTTAAACTTTTCAAAACATTCCATTTACTAATAAAAGTGTTTACAGAATCAGTATTTCCAAAGCATTAAAATCAGAGTCTCCCAAGATCCATTCATTCGTAAAACCAAGGATGTGTACGGTCACGCCTTCGCCTTGCCACGGTCCTCCGAGGTACCTGAAACCATAAATGTAACACCCGTAGATCCGGGCTAGTCAATTTAGAGGCGATAAACATCAAAAATGACTTTTTGATGGAAGTTTGTTTAGAATGAATAATCTTAACCAAGTTGAAGTATATGTCACAAGGTTTCCGAAAATATAAAGAATGCCGAAATCCGAGTTATAACGAAGAAGTTATGACCTGTCGAAGTTTCGCGACAGAACCGGCACGACACAGCGCGACGTAAATAGTGAATTTACGTTAGAGCGATATTTGGCCTTAGATATTTAAACGAAAGTCGTAGAATACGTTAAACCGAGAGCGTGCATATAAAGAACGTCTAAATCTGACTTCGTATGAGGAAGTTATGATTTTTCGAAATTTCGGCTTAGCAGTGTACAGCCCGAAGTTCGAATATGAGATCGAGTGATATTTAGCCAAAACAATCTAAATGAGAATTGAAGATCTCATCGTTAGTAGTCCAACGGTAAAAAGACAGACGAAAACGGACGTCGGATGAAGAAGTTATGATTTTATAACGGAGTTTTCCTATCCCGGCCTACTAAAAATAATATAATAAAAAATAAAGTCAAAATTAGCCATAGGAGTCTAAATGAAAGTTGTAGAGCATAGTCTCACCTACGCGTGGATATAAAGAACGTCGAAAACGGAGCTCGTATGCGAAAGTTATGAATTTTTGATGATCGTGGCACACATACGAAAGCTTATTCGAAGAGTACGCCCAGCGTACTGCTTACGCCCAGCGTACTCCGAAATTACGCCCAGCGTAAATCGAGTTTCAGCACCCTATAAATAGAATGCGAGGGCAGCCGATTCCTTTGCTCATTTTCTCTTCTCTCTCTCCCCATTTTGCATCGATTTTCGTGTAAGAGATACCCCGAAGCCCCGATATCATTCCCGAGCCCCGAAGCAAGTCCCGAAGCCCCGAAGATCCCGAGAAGCAAAGTTTCCGAGCCGAGACCCTGCCCGCGTAAAGCCCGGTTTTGGAGAAAACGTCCCGGTTTTATCGGAAAAGATTATTTTAAGAGA